AGATTATTTCTTTCTTTGCTTTTTTTTTTCCTAAATATTACACACATTTTTGTGTTTAATATCGAAATAGATAAATATCTAATATAATAAATATAAATATTATTCAATTTAAGATTATTTTTTCAATAAATAGAATGTTAAATTTAGTCAATTGATATATATATATATATATATATCGATAAATTAATTAAATAATAAATAAATAAATGAGGTTAGATGTTGTTATATATATATATATATATGTCTATACTACTAATTTTATATAAATAAAAGTAAAACAAAAGAAAAGAAAAAAAAATCAAAACTTGATTAACTAACGTCGATGATTAAAAATAAGTCTTTCATATTGATCAGCAGAAAGAAAACGACTTATTTGATGAAGATCCATTCTAAATATATTAATAATAAATAAATAAAAAAATAAAAATATTTAATCAAACTGTTGATCAGGTGAATAATTAAATCCAATAGCATAATCTCTAATAAAATCTTTTAATTGTAATCTTCTTCTTAAAACTTGACCATAACAACGTAAAAGGGATAATTTAGCATTATGTAATAATATAGTTGAACTATTATCTTGTTGTTGTTGAGATTGTTGTTGTTGTTGATCATTAATTTGATTTAATTGTTGATCATTATTTAAAATAGGTAAACGATTTTCTGCTTGATTTAAATATTCTCTTTCATATTCATCTCTAAATGGCATATATGTTAATAATTTTTGTTGTTCACTATCAATTAACATAGGAGGATAAATTAAATATTTCATATTAATATTATTTCCATTAATATAATTTTCTCCATATAATTGTTTATTATTTTTAAATGATTGAAAATAAATTGAATATGAACTTGTTAAAGGTGATAAATAAATATCTTCAAAATGATTTTGACAATCAAATGAATTTTTCGACATTTTAAAAGCAATATCATTCCAATTTCCTAATCCACATGATTCAATTATTTCAATTAAATTTATTTCATCATTTGATAACCATTCACTTATACAATTATCATCCAATGGTATATCATTTAACTTTTATTTTTAAGAAAAATTTTTATAATTAGTTTTTCTTTAGTTTTTTATTTTAACAAAAATTCAAACCTTATATGTTGATAATGGATGATGTTTACCATGTTCCCGTAATTGATTAACATTAATTGAACATTTAAAACAAATATTTATTTCACTATATTGACTACATTTTAAACAATTTATTGTTAATGATGATGGAGGAATACAACAATAATCACATTTTGATATTTTTTATTTTTAAATAAATAAATAATCAAAAATGA